ATGTCTTAACAAAGTTTCCAATCTGTTTCACGTCTTTCTTGAGTTCAATTTCCAGTTCCAATTACAATATCACGTTCCATCACTTCCAATGCTTACACTCACTTAACATGCACACCAATTACCTAGGTCCACATCCCATACTAATACGCTCACATTCCAACATCCACACTGTAAGATAAATTGATAGAGAGAGAGAATAAATTATGTATATATTAATGTATTGAATGTTTTATTGATTGATATATATTATATGTTTACAATTCCTATATATAGAAGAGAAGAATAGGTAGTAGGTGGAGTAGGTGTAGTGGAGTAGGTGAAGTGGGTGGAGTAGGTGTAGTGGAGTAGGTGAAGTGGGTGAAGTATGTGATAGGTTTTAACAGCCCCCCGCAAACTCAAGGGGGATAGGAACTAACCAACTTGAGTTTGGAGAGAGTAACAAAACAAGAAAATACATAAAAATAAAAGAGGATAGGAGACACTGTATGGTCGTGTCAGACCGTTGTAGAAGACTGTATGGTTATGGCAGACCGATGTAGAAGACAGTTTATGGGGTCATGTCGGACCGTTGTAGCAGACAATGTTGTGACAGTTGTTGTGACAGTTTACGGAGTCTTGCTGGACCCTTGTAGAAACTAACCGGAATCAATGTCGGGACAATTTACAGAGTCTTGTCGGACCCATGAAGGAGCTAACCGGAATTAATGTCAGGACATTTTACAGAGTCTTGTCGGACCCATGAAAGTCGCACCCTCAAAAGGTGTGCCCAATCTTTCAAAAGGCGTGCCATCAAAAGGCGTGCCCAATCCATAAAAAGGCGTGCCATCAAAAGGCGAGCCCAAGTCATAAAAAGATGTGCCGGACATGATGGCGAGGCGCGTCACCACATTGGCTTGCGCGCCCGTTTTGTCGTCTGGCGTCAAATGGCGCGCGATGCGCGTGTCTGCCTTGGCTATTTAACCAAGACGGATGCTGAGGCTGAGGCTGAGGCTAAGACAAAAAACTGGCTAAAAAACTCTGAGAAACTCTTCGTTGTCTTGAGAGAGATACTCTGTAACACGCTGTAACCAACCCTTCTCTGAAACACTCAGCAACCCATAACATGGCCTCTTCGTCCCGTAGTCTGCTCATTCTCTTTTCCGACCTCAACGAGTCCACAAGAGAGGTAACTGGTGCGGTTGCCCGTGAACCTCAACCAAGCGCCCCTGAGTTTGCTCCGTTGACCTTTCCTATGCGGTCTGTGGAGCAAAGAATGGCAGCGCAATCAGATATTGAGGCGAATCAGTATACATTGAAGTTATGTGTTGAAACCATGACTGCGGTCACAAACTTGTCACACCGGCTGCAGAGTAGGACAAATGAGGTGCACCAGTTAAACGCCAGCTGGCTCTGCTCCAACGCATGTATAAGGATGCGCAAGCAGAGATAAGTGTGCTAAAGGCGGAAAATAAGGAGCTGAAACGGAAGGCCACCGTTATGTTCCGATTTGGAGGTCCGCCATATGCTGCACCGACAATAGTTTGAAAACACTTGTTGCAGAAAGAAGTGATGTGGCCTGAGAATGCACAGGTGTGGACTCAGTATGTGGTGGGTCAGTGTTGCGTGTGTGTTAAAACCTATACACTTCACCCACGTCACCTTACTCCACTACGACCTATCTTCTCTTCTATATATAAGGATTCGGTAAACAATGTATATATATCAACTCAATAAAACATTCAATACATTAATAATTATACATCAATTTATTCTCTCTCTCTATCAAGATTTATTCTTACATTGGACCAGAGCTATAAGGTTAAAGATCTGCGTGGTTCGTCGCCTTCCGTCGGGCAGCAACCTTGCCTTGGACCGCCGCCGGACCTCAACCTAGTCCGCTAAAGTTCTCTACACATACATTCACTCTTCTCTACCACCTCGCCGAAGCAAACCAAAATCCCTTCTGGGAGCATTTCGTCGAACACTCATGTCTGCAAACAATGTATGCGATTTTCTTCCTTCTCTATTTTTGGAATCAAGCCCCAGACTATTGCGTTCATAGTGCTGATAGACCTACTCCAATAGGACATGCTTTCACGTGATATGCATCCTGGTCCCACGTACATAATCTCTAGCCATTGCTGGCATCACAAACCCCTGCAGTTCTTTTGAGTGAAGAAAAACCATTTCGTGGCATACGATAGTTCATCGCCTATTACATCCTTGTCGCCTACCCCCAACAGTACTCGCACATCACGATTCCAGCCTGATGCCAAGCTTCTATTCAACACCTGAGATTTTGGAAGCGAGCCACGGATACTTTTTGCCAGAAGGCTGTACGATAAAGCAAGCACACGTTCTTCGAGCTCACTCTCTCCGTGCTGCCTGGTGTATTGTCTCCTCGATCGAGCAGAAGAGGAGTCTTCGCAAGAACGATGACCATGTCGTTTTGGTTAAGGACTAAAGATCCAAGGTCGAGTCCGAGCTCTCTCTCGTCTGCGCGGGTATCTCAACTTGCTCGACTCCAATCTCGTTCCTTCCGCACCGATCCACCTGATGTTCAACCCACCTCTTCCACTCTCTCGCCGCGGTCATCCTCTTCGGCGTTCCCGGAGCCTTCACTCCCGGTTGCAGTATGAAACATTTTACCAGGCTTCATGAGAAAGCAGAGGCGTTGAAATCAAAAGGTGTTGATGGCTCAGCAAAGGAAAATGGGTTGCGCACGAGCAGAGAGACAGAGGCACAGCTTCATGTGTTGGGATCATTGTCTATCGTGGTCTGTACTTTGGTGGGAATGTATTCTCTGAAGCCAGTGGTCCTTACTGGAAAATTGCAGGATAATTTCTGCGCTAGCTTTGCCCTTGGTTGGGTCATCACCAACGGTGCTGGCCTTGCATCATACCCAATTGATACTGTTCGGGAGAAGAATGATGATGAACCTCTGGTGAGGCTGTCAAATACAAGAGTTCCTTCGATGCATTCTCTCTCGATCCTGAAGAACGAGGGTCCCACAGTCTCTCTCTTTTTTTTTTTTTTTCCAACATAATCATCTCTCCCACCAAAACATCTTTCACTACCCACCATGTGCACCCTTTTTACTTTTTTAAACCAAATCTTCACCTCTGCACCACTCATCCAAAACTCCATAATCTATTCCACCGCCCCACTCCATCCCGATACCCATTTTTTATTATTATTATATTATTTTATTTTATTTAAAAAAAAAAAAAAACATAATAAATAATAAAAACTAAAAAATAAAATAAAAAAAAAACCAAACTCATTTTATTCATATCGGGGCTCACCCGATCACCATTTTACATCAAAAAAAAAAAAAAAAAAAAAACAAACAAACAACAAACAAACAAACAAAAACACAAACACCACACCACAGTGGGATTTTTCTTCTCTACTCTGCCGCAAGTCGCTCTTCTTTTGCTCCGTCCGGGCGGCCCTTGACGGTTTGCCTCCGTGTTTCCCACTCCACTGGGCACGATCACTCCTCCTTGTCCTCCACT